GGGGACGTAGCAATCTCAATGATGATCCGCGTGAGGGATGTCCTTTAACAGTGACTACTGAAGATAAGAGAAACGAATATTACCTAGAAAAACAATAAAAGTATTGGCAACTTTCTATATTAAGTCGTTTTACATTTTATAAACGTTTTCAGTGTTACCTTGGTATAATTATGGTCTTTTTTCAGACACAAAATTAATGAGAGGTGGATGGATTAACGCCTCATTACCTTCAATATGAAGATTCTTAAAATATCCTCCTTGTTGAAAGAAATGTACTATTTGAACGGGAGAGTTAGTTGTTGGTGTTATGATTGTACTTCCAGTTCGGTATTCACATTTCGAAGCATTTTGGAATCTTTTCAAGTTTAGTGATAACCTGAAGTATTTTTAATGAAGAGGAGGAGTAAATGCCTTACACCGTACGATTAGATCAAATCAATTTAAACGAATTTACTGATGTCCTCTCATTTCCAGTTCATTAACATCTAAACATTAACAATTTGGTCGGCAAATTCCTTTGTTTTATATATATATATATGTATATAGATGTTATTACTCAATAAAGACCACACGCCCCGATCGGGTCGCGCTCGAAAAATACCGCACGGTCGATCACCGCACGCCCCGATCGGGGCGCGCTACCCACGGTACTATAAAGCCGTTTTTGTGATAGTTATAGCCTACTTTTGTATTAAAAAGTTTAACCATAGATTAACTTGGCGAAATGACCTATATATAGAGCCGTAAAGTTTAAATAGCCCGCATGAATTTAAAGTTTAAAACCCCAAGCAGTTAAATGTATTTTTTGTCATTCTTAAGGTTTTATCGTCCACGTTTTACTATTTTTAAATCCACTAATATAGATATATGAAAAGAATAGAATGAAACATACAACGGCTATTTTATAAGATCGGGACAGATGAAAAAATCTGCTTTGTTTTTGTTGTACGTACTTATCTCCTTTCGGATAGATAAGTATATTTACTTTATATATTTGAATAAAAAAAGTGTCATTAAAAATTTAAATACATACATTTTACAAGCCTAGTAGCAAAATAGTCTCTCTGACTTAATGTTACATAATGTCGTTTCGGTAGTGTTTAGATAATCCTGTTGCATTTTCTCAATGTCTGACGTAATAACAGCTTTCAATGTTTTCCAGTTTCGTACTGAGCAATTTCATTTTGTCTATGTTTTTGCAAGGTATAAAATTTGACAGTTTTGTGTGTGTGTGTATCATATAGATTCATTCAGACAGTTACATCACGACTCTTATCCACTAGTAGACTAGCCTCCACTTATTTATCCTTATTTTAGCAAACAAAAAGGTAATCAGTAATCCTTTTCCAAAAAAATCATCATGAAAACCAGTTCAATCGTTTAAGCATAAGCACAATAGGCAGGCTTATTTCAGATTTCTGTAGCGCTGTTCTGGAAGAACAAACTCTCCTTTCACCTCGCGGTGTGATTTAAAATTAGAACAAGAATTTCAAATAAATTTCAATTCACACCGGCGAATACTGCAGTTATAAGTGAGCTTGCTCTTACAGAATAGCACTGCTGGTATGAGTATGGACTAATCACAATAACAATAAATACAAATAAAAATGTTTGTGTCATATAAAGAGTTAATGCATTTTTTCGGTATTAGGTATAGTAAAGTCATTCCGAAGCGTTATACTTTACTCTTATCATATTTTTGTTAATGTTGACGGAAATTAAAAACTGGACATCCTAATTAACTCTTTCACTTCAGTTTCCGTTACATTCGAAAATTAAACGGTAAAAACGTGGATCCCATACTCTGAAGGAGAAAGTGACAGTGATTTTATTGATAAGTTTTGAGCATTCGTACCTACCAGATTTTGCGCTAATGTTACCAGATGCCACAAAAGAAAATTTCGAAAAGCCAAAGCCTTAAAAGGAAAACATAATTTATACTAAATTGAGTTTTTTAATTCGTTTAGCTCAGTGCAACTCTCATCTACTACAACACACGTAGTGTTGTAGTAGATAAGAGTTGCAAATTCATAACTTAAATTATATTATTTGTTAATGAAGTGATTGAGTATGAATTATGATTACGTTTTCTTTTTCGAAATAAGTAGATAAACATTGACTTCTAATTTAAATTATTATCGGAATTAGCCCAAAAATTTATTAATGATGTTATAATTACACATATCAATTTTAATTGACAAATAAAAATGAAGATATAAATTTATGGAACACCCCAGGAGTAAATTACGATATTAATTAAAAATATTCTACTCATAATTGAGTCAAATTATATAGCAATATGTATTATATTCAATACTTATTAAAATTGTAAGCCAGTTTGCAATTAAATTACAAGATTATTATTATTGAAGCGAGTAAAAATACTTTCACTGCGAATATACTTGCATCGAGATTCAACTCAAACAAATTTAAAATTACACAGAATTATCTCGCAAACAACCCAAAATAAATTTTATGTGAGTTCAGTCATTTGTTTTACCACGTATCCTACCTCCAACGAAACCATTAAACTGAATTCATTATAATAGGGATGATGACTAATTTTTTTTTCTTCGTTTATCAGGTAGATTATCAAAAAGTATTGGACACGTATTTTTTGTTTTTTCACATAATATTAACATTGCAGAGATATATTGATTTGAAAAGTCACGTGACGTCACGTTTGAGTACACTTATAAGTGAAAATTCACACAAAAGTGACGTCACGAGCCCCTACTCCCAAACTTTGACGCGCTATAACTTTGTAATTTTTTGGTTGATTGCCCAAAGAAAAATACGTGTCCATAATTTTTAGATCATCTAACTGACGGACTAAATAGAACTTCGTTTACTGTACCCCGTCATCACCCCTATTGAAAAATAATAATTATATAGAAAAAAATTAAAAATATCGATTATTCTATAAAGTATTATAATAAACATACTAAAATTTTTATCGTTGCTTATTTCATATTGTCTTCAAGACGATTTTTATCGTTACCATCCTTATGATTGTCATATTCCCAATCTAATATATAAAAATATGATGTAAAACTATTTTCTCTATATTATGTCATAAAAATCTTTTACGAAATATTTGATGTTATCCAGTTACATCCATTTATAGTATTTTTATCGCATTACTTTAAAATGTAACAGCCTATTAACTAGATTAGCAGCCTATTGGTGTTAACTAGTAAATAATGAAGGGAATTACAAAAGGAGAATCGGCCACCATAACCCTCCGTGCTAGCTAAGTGCGGGTTAATGGGTGTTGACGACTGCAGGCCGCGACCAATGCCATAGCATGCTCGAAATAATAGGGATGATTTATGGGTAAAATAAATTTAATAATAGACACATATTTTTCTTTTGTCAATCAACCAAAAAATTACGAAGATTAAGCGCGTCAAAGTTTGGGAACGGCTTGTGACGTGACTTGTAAGTAAAAATTGTACTGACACGTGGCCAATCAATATATCTCTGTAATGTTTTGATTACGTGAAAAATAATAATACGCGTTTAATATGTTCTTATAATGTTCCTAATAGGTGAAGAAAAAAAAGTTAGTCATCATCCCTATTATTTTTCGGCAACCCATCCAAAAACCACCATAAATTAACGATATTTGCGTAAACCCACCAGCTCAGCGCCAACCACTTCGTTATCGCGCTTCTAAATCCAAAAGTATATCTAATAGGCAACGCTAATAGCCTCCTTGTTGCAATGCATTGTTGCTAAAATCTTAACTTAGAAGACAATCCAGAGATGAGCGACTACCGTGACGCGCTTATTGCGAAATCGCCACCAGACAACACAATGGGGTCCATGTAGATAGATGATATTTGCGTAACCGTGCCTTCTGCCATGTTTACCTTCTTTTCAAAACGTAACTGCAATCAGCGCATATCCGCAATGTGCAGGACGGGAGGACGACAAAATTATCTAATTCAATTGTTTTTGCAGACAAGAAGCTCAGAACAGTAAGAAGCATGAAATTACATTTTTTTCAACATGTTTTCTTGCCTAAATCATACATCGAAATGTTGATTTCATTAAATATAGCAAAAGAGATCATAATTAATCTCTTTCCGAAAAATCTTACTGAAAAATCCGTGGAATCCGTTATTGCTCGCAATGAATTACATTAATTGCACAGAGAAACAAGAATGCTACAAAGAAATAACACATAATCGTCTTAAGTACAATCTGTTTAGTTCCGTTTTTACACGTTAAAGTAAATGAGAAAACCCCAGTACACCTATAAAATGCGCGCTCTGTAACGCGTGGCCCACTTTCCACACACATGACGTTTCTAGAGATCCACAAACATCGAACTCTTATTACTACCAGCGTAAAGTCTATGTTCACTTAATTCATTAATTATTCAATGCGAACAAAACATCGGATGCGTGTAATAAAGAAAAAAATGAACGGATGTAAATGAGCTTTTCAAATACGCGATATGCGAAAGATTATTTTGGCGGATGTCTGTAAGTGAAAGTGCAATTACGCAACTTTCTATATCCAAGCAATGTAGTCTTCATTTGTAATATATAAAGTGTGCATAAACAATTTATCGATAATCTTACTTATTAATAATTTAATTGTTAGGTGTGCAACTATGTTAAATGGATCTTGCGTGCTTGTTGGTTAATTGGTGATCGTTAAGACAAAATTAAAGTTTGGGTTAATATTAAGATTTGTCTTATTTAAATATTATGTTGTCCAAATTAACTTTGCTGCTAAAGTACCATCATAGACCCATAGTATTTTTTTCTATGGTATCATTCAGTACCACAGTAGCTTAGTGGTTAGAGCTTTGCTTTATTTAAGTAATGATTTCACGCAAAGGACACTGACTGTGGCTAAAAGTTTCAATGATCGTTATCATTTACGCAGGTAAATACGACGGTTAATAGTAATCACAACACAAAAAAATCTCACAGCACTGCCAATCCCCCTTAGGATCCACAATAACACAAAAAGGGCTTCTCTACCTTCCCAGGTGTTTTCAGACACGGTCGCAACTGTCACAGGTTACAGGAGAATATCACAGCTCCGGTCACCGCTCCAGAGTTCACAATCACAATGGCACAGTCTAATTTGGATCACCTGTGATCACACTTTCGTTTTCGCGTGTTCGCGCGCGCATGCCTCTGCGCAGGTAACGGATGTCGAGCGGACTGGACGCGGCGGCCGGCGGGCGCAGCGTTTTATACGCGTGAAAGTTTCCGCTGAGCAGCCTAGGCGTCTCGTACAGCCGCCCCTATCCCGGATTAAGGCATTATTTTGGATTTTGAAATCCTTCGATGACGCTGCGATGACTTAAGAATGCGCGTGGGCACCGTTCCGTGTTTTGAGTTATGTTGCATGGCTGGTGACGCGATATTGTTTAGCTTTCTCGAGAATCCCTTGGGTGTGTCGGATTACGGATGCCTTTTTCAATCGGTATGTGCAGCAAAAGCAGTTCTCAGCTCCGGCTGAAGTGTCGTTTTCATATAAGTATTGGTGCTTTCGCTTCTTGTGTCTTGGTAATGCAAACAAAATTTTGAATAATTATCTTTCACTGATTTTTAACAGTATATTGGATAGCAACCAGTCAATTTTGTTTGTAAACAACATCTCATCACCAGCCTGTTAATGTCACAGGTTTTTCGTATGGCTAAAATAGTGAGATTGGTGCATGACCCACCATGAGGGTGCAGCGTGGATGTTGATTGTTATCGACCGCAGATGCAGCCGCGACCAATAGCTTAACGTGCCTTCGGAAGCTCGAAGAACTCATGATAATAACTTTTTAGACACCCATGCCATGGCGAAAGTTCCTTAATTTCCATCCGAGACCTATATTTTTTTTTACTGTCAAACCGCACCTTTCGTGCTCTTGCGAGTCGAGTTCCAGTCCAAATGCTTATGCAGAATTTTCTAAAGGTGCTATTACGATCTTGCCTGCAGCAGCTACAGCTACAGGGGCAGAACGTTAAAAATTTTATACAAATATATATAAACATTGTTGAGGAGCTCGTTGGCGCAAGTGGTTAGCGCGTCCGGCTGCGATCGTTGAAGTTAAGTAACTTTCGCAGTGGATAGGTGACAAAAAAAAACTAATTCGAGCTCCTCCGTGCTTCGGAAGGCACGTTAAGCCGTTGGTCCCGGCTGTATCTGCAGTCGTTAGCACCCACTAATCCGCACTGGGCCCGTGTGGTTGGTCGGCCCAATCTCCCTACTCTATCCATAGGGAAGGCCTGTGCCCCAGCAGTGGGAACATTAATAGGCTGATGATGATGATGATATAAAACAGTCATTCAGCCTGCATCCTGCATCTGCAACCTGCAGCCGAGCTCGGAAAAGCACCTTAAATTGATCTTGATGAGAATAGAAGTTCGGGCGTACACTAAATACAGTGTAAGCAATGGCGGTTGTAAATTTTTTCAAACTTCTTTCGGCACGTTGCCTTTATGAGCGAGTTAGAATCATACTTAGAAGTTTTTTATTTAATTTCAACTTATTTCATAAACGGTTTTATCACGCTACCGTATCAATTTGAGTTCTGGTTATTTCACGGGTCTTCAACGATGATAAAATTGAAGATAGCAAATAATCTTTTACAGAAAAGATTTTATAAGTATTCTTCTTACGGTTTTCGTAAAAAAATCACCGAAGTAGTAATAACACAGTGACGTTAAAAGGAAAATTAAGCTTTATTATGGTAGATAAGCTTATTTCGGATAGTTGAGTTATGTTAGTGAACGCTGCAGTACCTACCTACAAATCAAATTAAATTATAATACATTTTCTGCCTTTCATGCTATATCGTATATGTAACTACTATGTATGTTGCAACTTAATGTTTTTTAACAAGGATGAATCGCAGCAATTATATCAGTCAGTCATTAACTGATAAAAATAACAGACCGTAGCAATCTGCTCACAATATACGTTATGCTATACCACTTGTCTAATAAATAATTTAGGTAATACGCGTTTGCCACACTGCTGCAACGGCCCAAAAATATGAAATTGTGAAAATAGTGAAATCGAATAAATTGCCCATTGTGTTCGTAAGCAAGGTGCACGAATTTTGTTGGCGTATTATTACACTTTCATCTCAGACGTATGGCGCCACCAGCGCATGACTGAAGTCTCGGAACACCGAGAAGTATGCGATGCCACCACAGTGTCATCATCTCGTGGTTCCATTACGCAATTGGTTGCTCCATGCATCACTTAGAGCGCTTTGTCAGAAGAAACCAAGTGATGTTAGGTTTTACCATTCGTAAAACCAATCACTTGGTTTCTTAAGACTGTCAATTGTTTTGTTTAGGAACGAAAAAAAAACAAATGAAAATGGATTTTGTAACTCATCTTGCTCACTACCCAAATTATATTAACAATGACTATAGGTTCTTATTTAATTTACACACGATTTAGTATTTAAGAAAAATATTATTGGCCTATTGACGGCATTGTTAAATATCCTTGAATTTCCTTTTTGTTTGGATTTTAGTTCGGCGCAAAAGTAAGTGTATTTTACTTATTGTACGTTTTACACACACCGGTGCGTTAGATTATGGACCACAATAAAGGCTGAAAATATGCATGAAATAAGTCGCAAATATTCTTTTCATTCCGAAAAAATAATGAATTTCTATGTTCTTTTTCCTTTTTTATGATATTCACAAAAATTAATCAAGTATCACTTTATTCAATCCAGGGGTAGATTTTTTAATTTTATGCCAATCAAAGTATTTCTTTTCCAAAGTTCAAAGTTTTTTGCATAATTTGAATATCAATCATTTTTACTCGTGTTGTTAAAACTCGAACATAGAGGAAATACGTTTATTTAAAAGCGAAAGTAATAGCAAGTAGGTACTTACTTGAAAATCGAATAGTCTCGCTAGAATCCGGTAGCTCGTTTGGTAAAAGCAGTAGTCTGGAAAGTGGAAGGTCATTGAATTCTGTACCTTAATGAAAAAGTAAATTTTCTCTATTACTAGATGTGCTGCAAAAAATAAACATGTTTTTTTAATACTTTAAGAAATCACCTACCTACCTATTTAAAGGAGATAGCATACTGGATTTTCCACTCGAATTGGAGGAAGCATCCCTGTAGTTCTATTATATTGTTCCATTATGGGACTACTGGATTTTTTTCTCCCATGGAACAGGTATCCCGTTTCTATAAGATAAAATTTGTCCCCAATAGTGGAACTTCTAGGTACTTATTGATACGTATTTTAGTCTATCAGTTTAACAGTAATTTTAACGACCCTAGAACTTGTTTTCAAAGATAAAGGAAGGTATTTTTTACATATATTGCCCCCGCGAGCTGACGGCTCACCTGATGGTAAGTGATTATACACCTGCAACACCAGGAGTATCATAAATGCGATGCCGGCCTTTAAAGAAGACGTACGCTCTTGTTTTGAAGGTTTCGAAGTCGTATTGGCCTGGTAACACTACTGGTGACAATGTATTCCACAGTTTTGTCGTAAGTGGTAAAAAAATTCGACAAAATCGCAAGATTGTGGATAGCCACGCATAAAGATAATGGGGATGAAATTTTTGTCGCGATGCACGATAGCAAAAATCAGCTGCTGGTATTAATGCGAACAATTCTCAGAACCTCATGATGCAGAGCGAAGCTACATCTCTACGCAAAGCCAAAGGATCAACGAACGAATTTTAAACGAAATTTCGCCAGTGACTCTCCTCTATTTCATCTTCGAACACGCACATAAAGTTCGGAATCACAGACAATTATCGTGAACGAATGGAATAAGTTATGTTTGTGAGTTCTTTTTGTCTACACTTTTTAGATAACGTATTTTACTTCAAAACCATATTACTTTATGACAAAATTTTTGATTACATTAAAACAACCTCTTTTGACAGTTTCAGCCGACTAATTTGTAGAGATTATGCAATCGAATGTATGTCAACCTAAATTTGTAACACTTTGAAGTATTGGCAATACAATAATAAACAAAATTCGATTTATTTGTAAATTTTTCATACTAAAAAATGTTCCTCACGCTAAGCAGCCTTAATTAAAAATACTCTAGTTGTAACTTTAGGTTTAATTTAAACAAAAATCCCAAAACGAAAATGAAAAGGTAACACTTTTCATTTCATTAATTTGAAGTTAAAATTTCGAACAATTTAGGGAGCGTTCAAGTATTACGTAACGCAATTTTTGAAGATTTTTGACCCCCCCTCCCCCCACTGTAACGCTCCGTAACGTTTTTCTGTACCCCCCCACGGTTCTCTAAAGGTTACGTAACACTCAAGTCATCATTTTTACCCTGAAGTCGCAAAAAGTTGTTATAGTTTTTATCCTTCGTATAGTTTTAATTGCCTTATAATAAAACAAGAGATTTTTAATTCGCAACACCTGCGTATTTTGTTTATTTTTTTATAAATTTTTGGCTTTACAAAACACAATTGTTTTTCTCCTTCATTCTCCTAAGTATTTTAGCTTTTTTACTAATAAATTCTTCAAATAAAATAACATATTTATTTTAACCTTTGGCAATGCAATTATAAACAGAAACCCAACTGAAATTAAACATTTTACTCGAAATAAAATCGTATTCTTAACAAAATTAAAAAATAATCAACTATTAACCAAGTATCTAAGTAGGTCTATAAAAACAATTCGATTGAAATTACTGCTCCTCTGTCCACGGGTTTGCTAGCCACTCAGATTCTTTCATCACTGGCACCTGGAGTGCAGACGAAGACGGTTCTGGAATTGTTAAGCCACTTGCATCAACTTCGTCTTCGTCGAGCCAGTCAGCATCCTCAGACGATGTTTCATAACGACGCACAATGCAGAGAAGCTCATTTGCCCTTCTGGCAGCAAGGCGCTGTGGCCGTACTCTAGTTTCACAATGGTCTTGGACAGTCTTGCCATGCACGTAACGACAGTGCATTTGAACACTCCTGTGAGATGTGAAATAGATCCCACAGGTTGGACATACTTTTTTCTTTAGGTCGGATTGTACAGATGGACAAAAGAAATCGTAAGGCATCTGCTTAAACCCTTCTAGAGGAGGTGACAGATTAACGGACAACCTTACAAGAAGTGGCGAAAACTTGGATTTTCCTTTGTCTAACAAACTGGGTACTACGAGCTTGCTTGGGGTTTGAAGTATTGGGCAAGGTGGCGGCATGAAAGTATCCGTAAACACAGATTTCAATGCACTTCTCGGTGGTGAACAGCAGGATTCATCTGCG